AAGATGCCCTTCAACAGATGAGTGGATAAAGAATATTTGGTCCATATACAATGGAATATTACTCAGCCATCAGAAAGGATGAATACCCAACTTTTACATCAACACCAATGGGACTAGAGAAGATTATGCAAAGTGAAATAAGTCAAGCAGAGAAAGTCAATTATCACATGGTTTCACTTATTTGTGGAACATAAGGAATTGCATGGAGGACACTAGGAGAAGGAAGGGAAAAATGAAGGGGGGGGAATCGGAGGGAGAGATGAACCATGAGAGACTATGGACTCTTGAGAAACAAACCGGGTTTTAGAGGGGAGGAGGGTGGGGGGATGGGTTAGCCCAGTGATGGGTATTAAGGAGGGCACGTACTACATGGAGCACTGGGTGTTATACGAAAATAATGGATCATGGATCACCACATCAAAAACTAATGATGTACTGTATGGTGACTAACATAACATAATAAAATTTAAAAAATAAATAAATAAATAAATAAATAAAAGATATAATCCATATTCAATCATAATGAATAGAGTTTAAAAATGCAATCAGCTCTGCCTCATGTCCATCACAGTAGGCAAAGCATACAATAAAGTAGCACGAACAGATCTGACAGAGTCTTGTTCAGATGCACTGGGCTTCAGTGCGTAATGCCCCAGAGTATGAATACACCTTAGGGTGACTCAGTGACAGGATGGCTGAAGGATTTGTGTTGGCGCACCAGTTCAATGCCCAGAAGGGTAATACAGATCAGCAAAGCAAAGCTCCGTTTTACAGAGCACGTCTGTTCCTTCAGAAAGCAAATGGCCACAAATCAGGATTGTACCTTCAAGCACCAGACTTACGTGCTCCATTTACTCCCTTAAGCAGGGGGCAATAATCAATCTACAAGAACAAATTACTGACAATTCCAGAAGTCAGCATCTTTATTTGTTAACATTTATCAACCTCTCTCCACCTTTGTATTAAACACTCCTAGGCATCCTTCCAAAATCTCTTGGAGCCTTGTCTCTGCAGCTTCTCCTTAACCCCCCATTCTTACCCTCCACCTCTTTTATATTATTTTTCCTCTTGTACATTACTTAATGCTCCATTGAAGTGACATTATTTACTTACATATTCTGTCTTCACTAAACTATAAGACTTTCAGTGTCAAGCTGTATCTCAGGCATTTGTGTTCCCTACTGATTAGCATAATGGCTGGAATATAAAAGGGACTCAAAACTTGGTTTTTGTGAATTAAACGAGCTCTAGCACTGAAAGGAGACTGTTGGGAGATCCTAATTCTACAATTGTTCATCTTTACTAAATAAATAAGAATATGGATAATGAGGGGAGCATGGGTGGCTCAGTTGGTTAAGCAACTGCCTTCGGCTCAGGTCATGATCTCAGGGTCCTGGGATCAAGCCCCGCATCAGGCTCCCTGCTCGGTGGGAAGCCTGCTTCTCCCTCTCCCACTCCCCCTGCTTGTGTTCCCTCTCTTGCTGTCTCTCTCTGTCAAATAAATAAATAAAAAATCTTAAAAAACAAAAAAAAGAATATGGATAATGAAACACTCAAGTAGAAAAAAAAGTACATTCAACTTAGCTCCTAAAATACTTCAGGGTAGAGTCTCATTAATACAATCTACTCTGATTATTACCTTATCTGGACTAAACTGAAATTTACCTTGACAATTCACATAGACAGTTTGCTAGAAAACCTAATGGCAGAGCCAATATGGTGAGGCATAGGAGGTACCACATTTACCTGTTTCTTAAGAGTAAACTTCTCAAGGGCCACAGAACAATTTCTAAATGAAAAAGAATGTATTTTCAAGTAAGGAATCTGAATTCCTTTCTCACAGGACCTATGGTTCTTTTCATGGTTTCCCTCCTTTTTAATGCCACTCTTAAGATTCCTGAGAAAATGCACCAAGAAAAGAAACAAAGAAGATGACTGAGGAATCAATCTACAAGTCTTGGTTTCCTCATCTATAAAATAAAAATAATGGTAGAACCTATTGGATGATCATGAAAATTAAATAAGGCAATGCATGAAAATCATTCAATAAATTACAACAGTTATTATTCTCAGCATCAAAGACAGGTTAGCATGATGGTTAAGAGCATGAGTCATAATGCCTGAGACTGAATTCCTGCTCTGCCACTTCCTAGCTATTTTGGCAAATCACTTAACCTCTTGTGGCCTAATGCTCATTACATGGAGTTCTTGGGAGATTAAATGAGTAACACATTTAAAGCAATTAGAACAGTGCCTGACACTGAATAAGCCCTCAATAAACATTAGTTATTAATACTATTAACTACAAACATCTAGAAAAGAGTTCCTACACACCAAATTTTAAAATTTTAAAGGTGACAAATGCTATGAGTAAGCAATTTATAGGTAGAATAGAAATAGCTGATAAAGATATTAAACAATGCTCAGCTTCATCCATTATTAAAAGAATAAAAATTTAAAATAACGATTTCACTTTTCAGCTCATCTTTTGCAACAATTAAAGAAATGCAAGTGGAAGGAAAGGAAAGCATGTACTTTCAACATGTAGCTGATGGAAATGTAAACTTGCACATTTATGAAAGGTGATTTGATGTTACCTATCAAAACTGTAAAAGTTTATTACTTGATTCAGCAATTCCACCTATAGAACTATATCCCAACAGAAATATTCATCAAAGTGGGCAGACATTTAGAAAAAACTGGAAACATCCCACATGCCCATCAATAGGACACTGGTTAAAGAAACCACTTCACATCAACACAGTAGAATACAGACATTTAAAAAACTACTGAAGACCCACATATATGAAAATGAACACATATTCATTATAGATTGTTAAGAATAAAGTTATGGAACAGTATTTATAACATGATGTCATTTTATTTTTAAATACAAAACAAAATTACATACCTATTTATGTATTTATCTCTCTGTGCTTAGAAAAATCTGAAAGATGTTAGTGACTATGTTTGGCAAATGCGAGGTCTATGCTATTTAAATTTTTGCAATACATCTATACTACTTTTTAGTTTTGATTTGCCGTTGTTTATTTAAAGAAAGCATAAGAGTAAATAATAGTTAAAAGCAGACTGTGAAGCCAATAACGTGGATTTGTATGTCTACCAGCAATATGCCTTCTCTCAGTATCCCCATTCATAAAATGAGAAGACCAATACTAATACTAATGATACCAATACACTAACAATAACAACAATAATTACCATGTTATAGGGCAGTGGTAAGCATTAAATGAATTAACAAATGGAAAGCCTTAGAACAATGCATAGCACAGAATAAGCACTCTCTGAACTGCCCACTATTATTACTCTTGGGTAGCATCCTTAAAAGACCCTAGGTCAGTTCCATCCACGTCATTGCAAATGGCAAGATTTCATTCCTTTTGATGGCTGCATAATATTCCATTGTATATATATACCACATCTCCTTTACCCATTCATCTGTCGATGGACACCTTGGCTCTTTCCATAGTTTGGCTATTGTGGACACTGCTGCTATAAACACTGGGGTGCAGGTGCCCCTTCGGATCACTACATTTGTATCTTTGGGGTAAATACCCAGTAGTGCAATTGCTGGGTCATAGGGTAGCTCTATTTTCAACTTTTTCAGGAACCTCCATAAAGTTTTCCAGAGTGGCTGCACCAGCTTGCATTCCCACCAACAGTGTAGGAGGGTTCCCATTTCTCTGCATCCTCGCCAATATCTGTCATTTCCTGACTTGTTAATTTTAGCCATTCTGACTGGTGTGAGGTGGTATCTCACTGAGGTTTTGATATGAGGAATTCTTAATCTCAGAAAACAAACTGAGGGTTGCTGGAGTGGTGGGGGGTGGGAAGGATGGGGTGGCTGGGTGATAGGCATTGGGAGGGTATGTGCTATGGTGAGAGCTGTGAATTGTGTAAGATGTTGAATCACAGACCTGTACCTCTGAAACAAATAATACATTATATGTTAAAGAAAAAAAGAAGAAGATAGCAGGAACGGAAAAATGAAGGGGGGGGGAAACCGGAGGGGGAGATGAACCATGAGAGACTATGGACTCTGAGAAACAAACTGAGAGTTCTAGAGGGGAGGGGCTTGAGGGAATGGGTTAGCCTGGTGATAAGTATTAAAGAGGGCATGTATTGAATGGAGCAGTGGGTGTTATACGCAAACAATGAATCATGGAACACTACATCAAAAACTAACGGTGATTAACGTAACATCATAAAATTTTTTTTAAAAAAAGTGAAAAGACAAAAAAAAAAAAAGACACTAGGTCAGCCAAGTCATCCCTCAGAAGCCCAATTAAATCCTAAGGTAACCAACAAAATGATCAACACACAACTGCTACAGCAAATACATTGGGTCTGGGCAACCGATTAACAATACTTTATTTCTACCAGCTGCCTGGTACAGCTGTGTTACAGCTGCCTGGCAGCCAGAAGACCTAGGATTCTGATTCTAACTCTTGTCCTCAACTCCCTCATCTGTTCAAGGGAGGAAGCTGACTTAAATATCACCCAAATTCTAATATCCTAATAGGACAACTTTACTAAACAAAATGATTATAGATCTTTGGAGTTGCCCCGGAAATACACTGCTCATCAGCAGATCCAGAATCTGAAATACAACTCTATACTAAAACAAGGGCCCCTTAAGAGAAAAACTTCCCTAAGTGTCTTGGAACACAATGCAACAAAAAGGGATTTCCTCTACATGAACATCATACAATTACATCTCCTGTAAGTCTATAACTCATATATTTTACCCACTTAAATGGTTTTTCCCCAAACCCACTCCCCCATGCCACAATACAAATTAGTGAGATTTTACTCTATGTTCACCAAGGCCCAGTAGTTTCATATCTACATGGAGAACAAGCAATTTTTTCCCACCTGCTAAAAGCTCCCAAATATACTTCACAGGGAAAATGCCTCACACACACGCACGCGCGCATGCACGCACATACACCATTAAAAAAACACCACAAAACACTTACACGGAATGCTGCAAGAATGATTCTTGTCACTTTCTCTTTGACAGATTCTTGAAGGATATCGGACAGGACAGGAATGATATTATAGCGTCGCAGGTGTTCACACATTTGAGGACTGAATGCCAGGAGCCATATTGAAAAAATCATTTGATACTGGAGTTGAAAGCCACACTTGTTACTCAAAACTCCCATGATGCTGAAAAGGAACACACATTAAGAAAACATTTACTAAACAGTGCAATAAGAAAAAATAATTACTTATTCTTTTTGCACTAATGGAACAAGTCTCTCTGAATTATGTCCTCAGTTTCTTTTCTGCCAGAAATAACAAGGTAGGCCCCTACTTATAGAGGGCCATTTCCAGCACAGCCTCACTTAAGTCTCTCTCCAAAAGTCACAGGACTTCAGCATTCAGCAGCACCTGCTGCCGAAAAGCAATGAGAAAGGAAACACAGACTTGCAATACGGCAGAAGAAATGGTAAGACAGACATAAAGAAGCTAAAATCAAAAGGACTTGGTAACACAAATAGATGTACAGCTTGATGAAGTCAGAAGGTATATCAAGATTTTTGAGTCTGGATAACCAAGAGGATCATTTATACCTTTAAAGATATTTAGGAACCTCACACAGAGAAAAGGGGATGAATTTGGAAAAAACCCATCATGAGTCTGAATTGGACACAGCCAATCTTTAACTTTGGGGGTTAAAACCTCAGAAGCTTCTAGGTGAACCTCCCACTTTACTGATACGGAAACTGGGAAAGCCATATGGAAATGAAAGAGGTTACGTCAAGTAAGAAGACTAAGGAAATATCCCTGGGGAATGCCTACATTCAAACAAAAAAGAAGATAAACCACTAAAAAATGACCAGAGGCATTATGGGTAACTCAAAACACAACACAAAGAGTGAACCGTAATGTAAATATGGACCTTAGTTAATAAGAATATATCAATATTGGCTCATCCAGTGAAAGAAAGGTACCATACTAATGTAAGACGTTAATACGGGAAAACTATGGGACAAGTATATATGGGAATTCTGACTTCTGATTTTTCTGTAAACATAAAACTGCTCTTTAAAAAGTCTATTAATAGAGCTACCCTACAACCCAGCAATTGCACTACTGGGTATTAACCCCAAAGATACAAATGTAGTGATCCAAAGGGGCACCTGCACCCCAATGTTTATAGCAGCAATGTCCACAATAGCCAAATTATGAAAAGAGCCCAGATGTCCAACAACAGATGAATGGATAAAGAAGATGTGGTGTGTGTGTATATATATATATACACACACACACACACACACACACACAAAAGAATATTATACAGCCATCAAAAAATGAAATCTTGCCATTTGCAACAACGTGGATGGAACTAGAGGGTATTATGCTACGCAAAATAAGTCAATCAGAGAAAGACAATTACTATACGATCTTACCGAGATGTGGAATTTAAGAAACAAAGCAGAGGATCATAGGGGAAGAAAGGAAAAAATGAAACAACATGAAACCAGAGAGGGATACAAACCATAAGAGACTCTTAATCTTAGAAAACAAACTGAAGGTTGCTGCAGGGGAGGGGGGTGGGGGGATGGGGTAACTGGGTGATGGACATCGGGGAGGGTATGTGCCATGGTGAGCGCTGTGTATTGTGTAAGACTGATGAATCACAGACCTGTAACCCTGAAACAAGTAATACATTATATTTCAATAAAACTAATTTTTAGGGGCACCTGGGTGGCTCAGTCATTAAACGTCTGCCTTCGGCTCAGCTCATGATCCCAGGGTCCTGGGATCGAGCCCCGCATCGGGCTCCCTGCTCAGTGGGAAGCCTGCTTCTCCCTCTCCCGCTCCCCCTGCTTGTGTTCTCTCTTTCGCGGTCTCTGTCAAATAAATAAAATCTTTAAAAAAAAAAAAAAATTTTAAAAAATAATAAAAAGTCTATTAATAAAAATAAATAAGATTTTTAAATCCAATTTTATAATCTACAACTACTCATTTAGTGGAAGGCTTATATTTGTGCCATTTCTCCATTTTTGTGATTTGTATACAGTTATAAATTTGCTGAACTGCCCTTCATTTTCTCATGCGTGATTTCTCCCTTACCTCTTTTCTACTTGGGGTTGTTATTTAAGACTTGCTTTTATTTAATATTGATGTCAGTGTTTCAAAAACTGTAAAATCAAGTCATTCTATGCTATTAATACCCTAGTACCTGGTTTCCTTTTGCTCTCTGATTGCTCCACTTATTAAGGTAAGCCTTCTACACTCTGCTTTGTGACGCCGTGGCTGAGACTTTAAGCCACAGTTCTGCTCTGCCAGCCAGCTCTGCCAACAGGAGCGGCCAGAGGCTGACTGCCAAGATGAAGGAAGAAGAGGCTTTGTCCTGTCGGCTTCCTGCCCCATGAGTATCACTCCAGCAACCTTCCTTCACCTCCACAGCAGCGACTGGGCTTTGCCGTGGCAGCGGCTGAATTCAGTCTGCAACGTGCTGGCCAAGCAGCCTCCCTGCACACGTTTGGAGAGAGCAGCACCAGCCATCTGGGTCCCTGACCTACGAGGCCCTTCCTCTGAGCTCAGGAACACAAGCCCTGAATTAAATCTCAGTTGAATACACATTCCTTGAAGCATGTAAACGTTCGTAATTCCAATCTCTTACCTTTGCTCCCCAACTTCAGGGGAAGCGTCTCCACCTGCTACCTCTCTTGACACTTGGGAGTTTTGTTTTCAGAAATCCAGTTAACAGTTCTTTATATTAAATGATCTCTGTTAACAAATCTGTAAATGTCCAGAGGGGTTATACAGAGCGCTGGACCAATATGCTATTGCTGAAACCAAGACAAAGATTTCAAAGGAAGTAGCAGTCAACAATGATGAACACTGCAGAGAAATCTCAGAGCGTTCAAAATCTGTCTACAATATATATGATTCTGTTGAAAAAATAAGGAAGTCTTCTATATCCAAATATTAACTACAAGAAAAACTCTAATAAAGTTCCTATTTAACAGAAAAAGGAAGGGTTTCCCCTAGAGGCAGGAACCCTAACTCTGAAGACAGTGGAGCATGAAAACATGCTAAGGGGTTACAAAGGACACAAAGGCCCAAGATAAACCTAAATACAGCAATTTAACAAATATTTATTGAAGATCTATATGGCAGGTACACTGCAAGGCACGGGGGACTTGCGGGGGGCAAATGGTGGGCAAAAACAGACACTGCCCATGTTCTCAAGGAACTCAGAATGCAGCGCAGTGGGAGGAAAGGATTCTCAAAGGAAGTGACCCTTGAGCTGAGACCTGAAGAATGAGTCAGTATCGAGCCCCATTTAAGTGTCTGCTATCCTTCTCAAACTGATGAGTTTAGTGTTATTTTTAATCATTGAAAAAGTTACTAAATGATGCTATAGAATCCTGAGTGCTACCTTTGTTAGCTATTTAATACTTTCCAACTAGATTATAATTTTTTTAAAGGAAAAGGACCATACGCTTCATGTATTCCCTATAATATATAGTACAACATTATGCAGAGAGCTCAAAAAATACAAATTGTCAAATCCAAAATTAGAAGGCTAAGGTTCATGAGCCAAAATAATTATTTAGTGTTCTATTTTGTTTTTAATTAAGGTTTTAAAAAAAATCAAGCCAATGAAGGGCATAGGGAGACAAAACAGCTGATTTACTGGCTGATTGACACACTTCTAGCTAACTGCTGCTCTTCAAACCCATGAGCACCTTGCACCTCATCACACAACGTCACCCAATAATGTAATGTTTTGATGCTTAAGATAAATCTTACCTTTCATTTACATACTACTTTCATTATATACTACTTCATACCTTCAAAAGACTTCAATGCCAATTGAATCTGTGGAGGCAATTATCCCAGAAAAGCTTCCTTTGCTTCAGTATTTAATGAATCAATGCTATCAGACTTTCTAGTGAAGTCAATATGCAAGACAATGTGAAGTATATTTTTGGTCTTACATAGGATATAAACATTCAGAAATAGTATTGTATCATTCACATAAAAGGCCTTTTCTTAAGATTTTATTATTTAGAAAGAAAGAGAGAGAGAGAAAGCACAAGTGGGAGGGGAGGGGAAGAGGGAGAAGAAGAGAGAGGATCTCAAGCAGACTCCCCGCTCGATCCCAGGACCCTGAGATCACAACCTAGGCTGAAATCAAGAGTCAGACGCTCATCCGACTGAGCCACCTAGGTGCCCCCACATAACAGACTTTTTAACAAAAAAAAATTATATAGCTAAAAATGTTCTCGAGTTTTTAAAATAGCAGTTTTATTCCCTTCAAAAAGGCTATACTTGAGTTTCTTCCTCCTCACATAATTCCTGCTTGTGAGTTGAGGAATACCAAAAAGAAAGAAACAAAGGATATTTTCAATCCTAAACAAAAGAAATGTACACGTTTTGTTTCTTCAAAAATGAAAAGATTAAATGAGTTTTTTGATTGTGATACTATCAACAAGTTAACATACTATACCTTTATTTATACCTGCTCTCAATCTAAAGGTCTCTATTTTTTTATTACTGTTAATCTAATTAGCAGTCATTAGTATATCGAAACATATAGGTTGAACACGGAGTATTCTAAACTATATTTGTCCCTGCTCTTGTTGCTAAATTGAACAGTTAATACTGCTTCCTGTCCTCCAAAATACTAAGTGCCAGTAACTAGAAGAGCCGCATTTGGTTAACTTCAGTATACCTTAGGGTCCACTGGACCAAATTTTAGTATTTGAGTTTATTTTTTGAGCAATTCTATTTGTAGAAATTGCTGATTCATGACTTTTATTCTCTTTTCCAGATCTTCCAAAGAACAAAAAGGAAATTTTTTTGTGTGTGTAATAGAATGAAATTCAATTTATTTTGCAAGTACTATACAGGTCTATTGGATCCGCTCATAAACCTAAGATATATTATGGAATTTCAGTGATTTTATATTACCCATAATTTGAAGAATTATACCATTTTATTATCTGAGATATTATTTCATCATTATACATTCATTATTCCCAACTATGTTAAAAAAATTAAAGACTAAAATTATAAGAAAACTGGAAAATGATGAAATTGCCTAGGAAGATGATATAATAATGAAATAAATAATTATCCTTTCTTACTGTATTGCCCAAAATATTGCATCATTTTTACAAACTTGCATGTCATCTTTGCTCAGGGGCCATGCTATTTTTCTCTGTATTGTTCCATTTGTAGAATATGTGCTGCCGAAGCGAAGGTAAAAAGGCTGGAAACACCATCTCTGTAGTCTACCTTTAGATTTCTGTGCAATAAAAAATTAACATCATAGTCAATCCTGAAACCGCTATTCATAGAAAAGTCTGCCTACAAAGTGACCTTTGGCTGGCTTCTGGGTACCTGAGTGGTAAACAGTTCCCTACACTGATACAGAACTTTCCCTAAATGATAAAGGTGGCTCACTCTTCCTATACTGTATGCTTAAACAATATGCTTCTGTTTATACTGAACATGTGCTGTCCTTCTGGAGTCTAGAATTTTCCTGCATGCTAGGCAAAGGGTGCCTACCTGACAAATTTCCAATAAAAACCATGGGTGCAGAGTCTCTAGGGGGATGCCTGAGCAGAAAAATCACACAAATGTTGCCACATTTTTGCTGCTGGGGAAAAAGTATGCTGTGTGACCCCCACAGGAGGGATAGAACATAGGAAGCCTAACATGGATTCCTCCAGATCTATTGTGTCTCTGAAATAAATCCCAGCCATGAGAATGACTACATGCTGAGTCCCTTGAGTCCTTCTGCTGAGTCTCCTGACACTGTGTGAACACTGAAATTCAAAGAATTCAGAACTTTTTATTTTCCATCCATAATGGCAATTACCTGAGGAAGGCATTTCATAATTATGAGATGAATCAGAAGCTGAAAGCAGAGACAGCATTCTGTTCTCTAATAATGATGATGAAATTGGTCATATAAGTGAAATCTCAAACTGTGAGTCTTCAGATGACTATCATAATTGCATTTTGTCAAACTCAAGAATCAGTAAGTGAAAATATATCTCTAAGGACAAAAAAAAGGAAATACACTATTTTCACTTATTTAGTTGTTCAACACGAAAGCCTTAAACACAGTATTTTGTAACAAGAACCCAGACCATTCCATTTTGCCAAAAGGACATGTGATGGTTTTCTTTCATCTTTCATGAAGTTTGTGCATCAAAATTCACTTACTACAGAAAGATTTACTATGAAAAAATTCTTTTTTTTTTCTTTGAGAGAGAGGATGCACGCGAGCAGGGGGAGAGGCAGAGGGAGAGGGAGAGAATCTCAAGCAGACTCCCTGCTGAACACGGAGCCTGACACAGGGCTCAATCTCATGACCCTGAAATAATGACGTGAGCCGAAATCAAGAGTCAGACGCTTAACCAACTGAGCCACCCAGGCGCCCTAACCATGAAAAAATTCTTATCAGGATTTCTAATGGTTGTTTTTCACTATTTCTTTTTTTTTTTTTTTTTAAGATTTTATTTATTTGAGAGAGAGAGAATGAGAGAGAGCGAGTA